GCAACTGTTATGGACAGGCGTGTAGCTTACCACCAGGCGCACGACTTGGCCGTTCCGTCACTTGATGTTATAATAAATAAACTCTACCGGAATCTGTGTTTCCAGAAAAGTACAATTTTGGCTATTCAAGGCTAGAGTGAATAGGCAGACGCGTCCCATCGTCGCTTAACATCAGATAAGATTGTGGCCAAGCGTGTGTCTGTTAAATATTTAAAAACAAAAAAATTGCTCATACACAATTTCTGTTTCTCTCCTAACTCGTTTCGTAGCTCAGTTGGGAGAGCGAGCTCTCAACTGAGAGTTGATAGTCAATCACATACATATTACGAATGCATGAAGAGCCCAAACCGCATTGGGAAAAATACCCGTTCCCTATTGAGGGACGTACAAATGAGTTAATGATGTTGTTGTTACAAAATGTTATGGAAATAATTACTATACTAATAAAGCTGTTTTGAAATTTTCAGGTGTTCTGTTCTCCATAGAAGTAACGACGACGTATTTTGCCGTGCGAAATTATTGGCGAGGGTTTTTCGCCGCTTGCTGCAGTGCCATTGTGAGTAAACGCAATACTTTTCTAATCCCCGACGCAAAAACTCCTCTCGAGTTATAATTGAAGCCTTTGCCATCGTGTCGTTTTTGGCATCGTAGCTCCCAAACGGGTGGAATGACGTCAAGTAGGTATTTTTTTTATTTAAAGGGTTTTTAATTGAGATGGTTTTTAGCTTTTGTTCGGTCAAGAAGGTGCTGATAAGATTTCTTCAATAAAAATTTTCAAATTCAAATTCAAAATATTTTATTTCGCCAATATTACAACATAGTATAAGTACACGAGTCACAAAAATGAAATGACATAAAATAAAAACATTACAAAATACAATACATTAAATTAGATTAAAATTAAAAATACATATTATTGAAAATTTATTGTATAAGTGTCATAGGTCTCAACCGCTACCGCTATCACATCCACTGATGTAGCAGCGGAGAGACCCACCGGTCAGTCAAAACGTTCAGGATGCTGTTAGACGATCTACGCAGGCGGCTCAGTAGCTCATTAGCGTTGCAACGGATGTTGCCGTCTCCGCGAATATACCGGAACTGCAGAACCGTGGCACATCCAGCAGCTTCCTGAACGCGTTATTATATCGTACGCGCAGTACGACGGCTGACAGCTGCGCATATGAGACCCAGAGGCTGCAAGTGTAGAAGGATTGGCAGAAAGCTTTGAATAGCGTTATCTTGACTTCGTTAGAGCAGCGTGTGAACCTCCTAGCCAGCATATTACAGCGGACAGCCAGAGCCCCGCGCTCTCTTTCTATGTCAACATTATATTTTATTTAAACTTATCAATAAAACGAAGTTTATTGATATAGGAAATGAAACTATTTTTCCGGATTTAAATCGCGTATATTTGTTTTTTCAAACAAACCGACGTTTCGGGCCCTTTACAGGTCCCATGGTCACGGTTGACTGAGGTGGTACAGTCTTCAACCAGTTATGTCTAATATTAATGCAAACCACCCTATTTTTTCACTATAGTTACAATAGTTATTAATTAAATACCTTATTTTTAATTTTACAAAGAAAACATTCCAATTTACGCTACATTAAGTTTTACAAATTATTTTATTGAATGAATTTTTATTAGGTTTAATTTATTATTAATTATTAATAGAAATTAGAATAAACTAAAACATATTAATTAGTACTGCAGTCTTATGTCTGTTTGGGATTTTTCATTAGAGGAAATACTGGGTCCCAAACTGGTGGTACGGAGAAACCATCTTCCCTGTTGAAATTAGGATGTTTTTTAATTTCAATGGCCTCTCGCAGCATCCTGGGTAGATAACGGACTTCTTTTGCAAGGACCTGGGGTTTGTCAAACTTCATTGAATGTGTAGGTTTATCCATGACATGCTCGCAGACTGCAGACTTGTTTACGCGACTGTGTTTGACATCAGCTATATGTTCTTTGACGCGGGTACAAATACTTCGCTTTGTTTGTCCAATATAAGAGAGACCGCACTCACAGTCAAGCTTGTAAACTCCTGCATCCTGTAAGGGGATGTTACATTTCACGGGTCTCAGGAACTGAGAAATCTTCCTCAGGGGCTTGAAATAGGTCTTGATAGATGCACGCCTGAGGACTCTTCCGATCTTGTCTGTAACACCTCTCACGTAAGGTAAGATGGCAGGTCTTCGCTCGACTGTAGGTGGTTTCACACGGGGTCTGCGGCGTTGGCGTGGAATCCTCAACTTATTCGCGAAGTTTATTGATGTTATACAAAGTTAATAGAAATACAGAATGGGTACGTCTTTGTGTCTGATCAAGGTAGAAGTGACGTTTTTTTAAGTATAGCAATAAAAAATATATAATTAAATAATAAGAGCAATGACACTTTCACGACGCTGCTATGATGAAAATTGTAGGCGTTCTGGGGCTTGAACAGCTATTTCTGCAATATTTTTACAATTGGACTGCATTTTTTTTTGTGTGTGTTATTACGCGACTACTCCGGCATTTGTGATTCCGTTCATGGGTCACAGGGATTTGTCCCATTCAAATTTCAAGAAAATATTCCATCTCTAGGGGTAGCAAATTATAGGATAAATTAATTAAGAGGGAGCATGCCAAAAAAGTTTTGACGTTGGCTCCGCCCAAATTTGTGAAACAAATATATGCCTGAAGTTCGCGTGACATGCGACAGGAGATGTTGAATTTTGCGCATTAAAAGTACCAAATTCGTTTTAGCGGAATAACTCTATGGGTCGTATTCTAGAACTCTACTCAATGCTCAAGTCAGGATTGCACTGGAAACACAAGCACTGGAAATACGATCCTAATGGCAGGGACTTGAGTATGATTTCGAGTGCTTTAAACCATGCTCAAATCCTGACTTGAGCATTGAGTAGAGTTCTAGAATACGACCCTAAATCTAAAGGGATTAAAAAAAAATCCGTAGTGACAGTTGTCGATCATGCATAAATATAATTAATTATCTAATTTTTGTCCTAATAACCTGTAGCATTTCGAGGATAAATCGAAAAAATGTGAAAATTAGAGGTCATTTCGTGATTTTTATCTATCGAGGAAACTTTATTGTTTTATGTTTCTGATTAATGTCTATGCTTGAATATATCGTGTAGTTACTAATACAATATTTTATTTCTTAACTTTAAAGTGGATATACCCCTCGAAAATCAAATCGAAGATTAGGAATTTTTCCTCTGCTCCCTCTTAACCGTTTTCAATAAAACTTGGCAAACAGATGTAATCCACATACTTTTGAAGTTGATTTTTTATATATATAAAAAGGTATAACTATTATTGACTGCGTGTTGTTAATGCGCTTCGTCTATATTTTAAATTTGAATTATTTAAGTTTCTCAGTAAGTGAAATCTGGTTGAAAATAGTAAGAGCTCCCGCCGAGGCATACATAGTGCTTTTCTCAAACAATATGAGACTAAAGGAGGAATGTATAATAGAAAAAGTAAAAAAATATATACATTGATATTAAAAGTAATATTTGACATGGGACAATTGCTAAAAGAAAATGTTGTCTTACCACCTTTTTCTCTTTTTCAAAAAGTTATCGATACAGGTGGGCAGTTGGTTGCATGAGGTTTTCCTTTGCCTGTTTACATAGTTTGTTATTAGTAGATAGATTGAAAAGTTTAGAGAAGAGGACAGTAATGGATTTTCATACTTACAAACAACTTTCCGACAAACTTTCCGTGTTCGTTTTTTTAAAGTAATGCAAACATTTCCGAGCATGTGACCTCTTTAACTATAATAACATTGTGATATTTACCTATGTATTAACTACGATCATTACTTCGCAGATGTTTCGTCTCCTGTCCGTTTGGTCGGGCGCCACGCCGACCATCAAACCATTGTTCCCAACACATTTACCACAAGAATTCCCATTTGACCCTCAAGAGTTTGCTGTGTTCGTCTTGCTGGGGTGAGTTTGGCATATCACATATGTCAGATTACTTAATAGTTACTACCTAACAATATATAATAATAATAATAACGCACACACTTACACATACACAACCACAAATTACACCCAAACTCACGAGAGAAATAAATGTACACAAATATTTCTCCTGGCCCGGGAATCGAACCCGGGACGTTTGCGTGGCAGACCAGCATGGCATAAAATCGAAAATCCCTACGCTATAATAGCCGATTAAATATGACTAATGAAACCAGGCGCTCACTACGAGGAAAAAGGAACCTTAGCACGCGCTCAGAGAGTTGAAAATAACGCTGCCGGCCGTGTGCAGTCATGCGGAACCGAATGCTCATGAATGATGGACGTTGTATGAGCGCTTGCGCCGACGTTGACGCACCCAGCGGTAGGCTTTTGAGCGAGTGACGGAGCCCTGGCTCTAGTGCTACTAAAATATTTATGTGAATGTGTATGTTTGTTTATAGCATAGTGGCCGGTCTATTTGCAGCGCTATGGGTGTGGCTACACCGGCATTACGTCCTCTTCATGAGAAACACCAAGACCCTTAGCAACTTTCTGCAGAAGAAGTCAGTACCACCAATATTCTGTACTATTTTTGATTGTATTTGTATTGTATCCGACACTAACTTTCGCCTGCAACTTCATCCATATGATATGCAATTATTTTTGTGAAATTACTCCAGTACTTTGTAATTATTGTTAAGGCAAAGATAGAAGACAACCAACGTCTCCAGCAAACCGTGTCAGACGCAATGCCAACTAAGTCACGGAACGAATTAGCGAGTCTTACGGATTTGCTTGTTACAGATCTTTGTTCGTTTTTACGACTTTTTTGCCGTATCTGTGAGAAATGTAAAGAAAAGTTTTCATATATTAAAAATTACATTTATTCAAGCGATATCTCTGCTGCTGAGTGAAGAAAGCTTTTATAAATTTCTCACAGATGGCGCTACGGCAAAAAGTCATTAAAAACTAAAAACAAGTATCCGACAACAAGCACATCGAAAAATTTGTAAGGCTCGCTAGTTCGTTCCGTAGCTTAGTTGGCATAGCGTCTGTTGTTGGAGGACGTTGATTCTAATCCAGCCGGACCTAAGGATGTTTTTCTTAGTGTTCGATCTTTGTCTAGATAATTGTTAAAACATAACCTAATAAAAGTGTTTACAAAAATTTAATTCAATTTCAAATAACAGATTAGACGAAATCTGTAGATAATCTATATCTTACTTGTAGGAACGCTAACTTTTGATATTACAGGTTTCAATTTGAGTCTTATCTTGGACACTATTGAGTTCTTTTTTTCAGTTTACATTTACTTTAAAGTACTACTTAATACTTACTTAAGAAATTGTGGTGAGACGCATTGGGGAATCATTCAATAGTTTTCGAAGGCTTTTGATGATGTTTTTCCACCAGAAAGACGACACGAAACGACACTTGAATTAAAATCGCGTCGGCCAATTGTAGTGCCACCAAAAAATGCCAATTTCAAAGATGGTGCATGCTAATAATAGAGAACTGAAATTTTGCCATACAAATCTCAATCCACTTAAGAAATGCGTTGGGCGCTTTTCAACCCGACTAGCATAGGAGCTTATAACATAAGCTATAAGTTCTATAACCTGTGTTTTCGAAGATTGAGTAAAATGATAGTTCATTGCGCAAAAGTGTTGCCTGCTTGCAACCAGCTAGTGATTGCAGTCGATAAACATTCTATCGACTATCAACTGAATATTGCTCACGCTTATGGAATAAATAGCCGGACTTCTTTCATTTGAATCACCCTCGACCCATTGTCCATCGAATTACTGAGCTCAAGTTTATTTCAATTGTCAATTTTTGTAAGTTCACAAACTGCATTTAGAACTATGTTTGTGAAAAGTATAAAATGGAGACATATTTTAAAGTTTTTCATTTTAATTTTATATGGATAATCATATCCCGCTATTCTTGTTAAAATGTACGAACAAAATTGATCTCGATATTAGTAGGTCAACTGTCAAAATAAGAATACAATAACGCAATTAGTAATCATTCGATCGACTTAACATTCACAATTCAGTCATTTTTGGCAAAATTTCATCTTCTGTCACAATTTCATCTTCTGTCACAATCTATCGATAAAACTATCGACAACAACTACATAACTATTTAAAATTTTATGAAAACTGACAACCCTACAAATGTCATTTTAGTCAGTCTTCAAAAAAGACCGACTACAATTCTGAATTACATTTATTTGTGTGTTTGCAGTCGCTTCATCTATCCAGGCATCATGACTCTGGCTGTGATGACAATCCTCTGGCCTCCTGGTATCGGAAAGTACATGGCTGCAGACCTTAGCAACCAGGGCCAGGTAAATATTTTTTCTGAATTATATCACGTGGCGGAACGAACATGTCATGCGCCTGGTGGTAAACTACAAGCCTGTCCATAACAGTTGCAATGCCAATCAGAACTTCAAATCTCAAAGATCTGAAGAGCATTGTTACTGCGCCTGTTACCCTGAGACATAAGTTGACAAGTCCTAGGTGTCCTGTAATTTCGGGCGCCCTTACCCTTCAAAACGGAACTGCTTGGTAGCAGAAATTGTTAAGGTAACAGTACTTTCCTGGACGAACTCTTCCACAATGAACTCGTATAATCTGCCTTCAGGTACTTGCCATGTTCGCGAACTTCACATGGGGAGACAACCTGACGGCTGCGCAGGCGGCCGTGGTCGACCACTGGCGGACGCCTGAAGTTGACATCTTCGGCTGCCTCGTCATTTACTTCTTTTCAATTGTAAGTGAATTTGTTACGTCATATTTCGTCTTATATTTTGAGTTTTAATCATAGAACTTGCTTACGTAAACGTTAACGTGTTCAGCAGTTGGGCATTTTGATATAGAGTCAGTAAATACCCTTTATACCAATACACCAACCAAAATAGCATGGTGATTTTGACAGATCGTTTTGGAGGTGTGACATGTTCGTCCACTTGGGTATCACTACAGCACTAGTATTTAAAAGTGTTGTAAGTTAGTATTCTTTGAATTTCCTGCTTGCTTGGAAAAATCCGTTACGGTGCGTTCATATTAGACCCTTTCATTTCCGATACAGTATATTATTACTAAATAATTTACACTTAACATCGCAAATGTGTTGAGGACTGTAGGGATTCATATAATAAAGCTCCTATGCCTGTGATTGATATTTACCCTTAAATTGGAGACAAAGCAGTACACACTTCTGCTTTATGTTAAGAAAAGGTAAATTTAATGAAATGTTATTAATTTTGTTGAAAAATCATTTTATCAAATTTGATCAACTCCTGCTGTCCCACTTTTTTCGTTCTGTACAATGAAATGATCCTTACATAAAACTGAATCGATCAGCACTAACAAAATTTGACCAGTTTTATTCATTTTTAAGGACAACTGACACTGGACCTAAAAATTTACTATGCCAAAATCGTTTTCACAAAATAAAAGACATAAAACCATTAAGTACCTAAGACAGTTTCTTTGTATCTTCTATGATTTCGGATTTTCCCATACTGTCCTATTAAAAAAAAACACGCTGTATAAAACAAATAAATTAACGCAGGTAGCTCGTACACCTAACTTGAGTTGACGTTGAAATTTGTTTATGCATCCTCCACCATGACACATATGATTGTAGCAGGTAGGAATAAAGGAATATAAAACAGAATAAACGGACGGCCGTCTATAGTTGACATTGTACACGAAACGTTAATAAAGAACAAAATTACATCTCATTTCAAACACACTTAATTATTGATCAAATAATCGATAAATTATTACCAATATTATTGTTTAATTTTGTTAATAACCATCTGTTTTAACAAAATTGGTTTTTATATATAGACTTAATAAGTCAGAGTGAAACAAAACCATGTAGTCGTGGGGTTAAGAATTTACAACAATAGCTTGGTAGATACGTCAATGTAAGTTTTTGACGACTTCGTAGGCCCAGCGATTAGCAGTGTGTGCACTAGATGTGTACCGTTTAGGTTCTCGGGTTTCTCTCAGAGAAGAGTTTAAGGAGACTGATATCATGACTGTGGCATCGCAATACATTTACTCAAATATTTTGTATGCCCGTAAAAATGTACATAATTTCGTTAAGAAAAAATATATCCATAATATTAACCTTAGAACTAAGTCCAAACTCATGGTACCACGATTTCGTTTAACTAAGGTAAACGATTCTTTTATGTTTTTACAATAAAATTCCGGAGAATATATTAAGATTATAATTTCCTAAGTTCAAAACTTACATTAAAAGTATTTTAATTGAAAAGTCATATTACAAAATTGAAGAGTATGTTTTAGATAAAGAAGTATGGAAAGACAACAAGAGTCTAGATTCCACACAATTATGATTCAAAGTGTATTCTATAATAATAGAGGTTAAAGTATGAAATTGCCGATTTGTACTGAAAATCTAAATTGTTTATTTTTTAAATTTTTAACAAATTTATTTAATCAAAATAGTTGCCATTATTATCTATACATTGCTGCCATCTAATGGGAAGGTTATTAATGCCTTTGCGATAGAACTCCGACGATTTAGACTGCACAAACTGTGTGAAAGCATTTTGTACTGCCTCCTGGGAAGAAAACTTCTTGTCACGTAGATAATTGTCCAAATCACGAAAAAAATGGTAGTCCGTTGGAGCAAGGTCTGGTGAATACGGAGGATGACGAATGGTTTCTAACTGCAGTTCCTGAAGGGTCAAAATGGTTTCTCGTGCTGTGTGAGGTTTCGCGTTGTCGTGGAGCAATAATGGTGAAGATCGATTCATGAGTCGGGGCTGTTTTACTGCTAGTTTTGTCAACATGGTTCGGAGTTCGGCACAATAGACATCTGCCGTTATTGCTTGACCAGATCGGAGAAAACTATAGTGAATAACACCATGCTGAGACCACCAAACAGTTACCATTACCTTTTTATTGGTAAGTTTTGCTTTAGGACACTGTTGTGGCATTTGACCTGGGGTCAGCCATTGCATTTTTCTTTTCCGGTTATCATAAAGAATCCACTTTTCATCACATGTTACAATTCGATCCAATATTCCTTCATTTCTGTACCGGTTCAACAAGGCAACACAAGTTTCAACACGCGTTTCTTTCTGCAGATCAGTCAAATCATGAGGCACCCATTTTTCGTATTTTTTTATTTTATTGATTTGACGCAAGTGAGTCAATATTGTGGGTAAGGTAACGTTAAACCATGCCGCTAATTCCTGGGTAGTTTGACTAGGATCGGCTTCCACTATCTCTCTTAATTCATCGTTATTCACCTGTGAAGACCGCCCGTCTTCCTCGTAGCTCGTTCTTTAAGTCGAAATTTCCATCACGAAAGCGTTTAAACCAAAATCGCACGGTGCGTTCATTAGTAGACCCCTCTCCAAACGCAGCATTGATATTGCGGGCTGTTTCTGCCGCGTTAGTTCCGCGTCGGAACTCGTATTCAAAAATCACTCGAATTTTCGCAGTATCCATCTTTCTTGTCTAAATTGAATAACAAAAACAATTGAAAGTCGATATTCAAATGTTTCAAATTTAAAAAAAAAAACACAGAAACCATTTGAAAAAAGTTTCATTCGAAAACCTCAAACCATGAAGATTCTATGAAAATTCAAAGAACCTATTGCAATAAAACGGCAATTTCATACTTTAACCCCTAATATTAAAGTTTATTTGAAAAGAGCAATCCCTAGGGTTTCTTGCTCGAGCATTAGCTTAAAAAATGACGTTTTAAAGTGTGAAATTTAATTGACTTTGACTTTGACGAGGAACTCCCGGGTTCGATGCTCTAGATGATGCCTCAGACATAGTTCCGTTGAAGTTCACGTAGTTGCCTGGCACATTATTATTATTATTCTTAAAAGATTTTCGTATATAGTAATAGAATGCCTAATACTTAGAATAATAACGCATATAATGATAGTTTCATATCAAACGAACTGTCACAAGTGAGGCAAAAATCAAATTCATGTAGGCATTTTCGTGTCTTGTTGCAACGAAATCATCAAATTTTAGGTTTTAGTGAATATTTATATAAAAATACTAGTTGAAACGCGTTACTTCCTTGTGGAATGTGATGTTAGTATCTGTTTTATGTTTGTCTGACTTTTTTTACACTCATTTACCGCACATTTCGTCATTTTTAGCTAAAATTCTTGATCTGTTTGCGGTGCAAGTTGACCTTGAGCACTGAAGGCCCGCCCGCTCGTGTATGCCCTTTTGGCGCGCTTCAATTTGCCTCACTTAGCGTGTGCGGACTAGGTTTCTATGCGTTATTATTGTAAGGCTTAATATAACAAATTGTTTTTTTCTAAAGTCATTATTTTTCGGAATCTAATTAAGTGTAGCTACCATATACAATTTGGTATAGTTCCCACTGTCCTCCTTTCCGTCTAGAGAGTCATTCAACGTTCTCCACAAAGGTTATAATGCTTAAATTTTATATTATTAAAGAGCCAAGCGGTCATGTATGAAGAGTCTGGTAAGGAAGGCAACAGAGGTTTATCGGGAACGTAGCGATAAGTTCATGGCCTCTGCCTACCTCAATGCGAGACAGTTGTGTATACATGTATGTGTGTGTTATCGTAACACCTGTGCAATTATCAAAACATTGAATGATTAGTTGCCGTAATTAGCTGTGAGAGTCACAAGACGAGGTGGCCGAGTGGTTAAGGCGTTGGACTGCTAATCCAATGTGCTCTGCACGCGTGGGT